CAGCCGAGACAGATCTGCCAGGGATCAGGGTATTATAAAAGCCAGCTTGTAGGCCAGCTGGGGAGAGAGCTGCCGGGAGCAGGCAGGCGCTGGCAGGGAATCCTAGTTCAAGGGGGGGGAGAGCTACAGGAAGCAGGCTGGCTCCTGTGGGAGGCCCTGGAGAAGGGTATGGCTCTATGGCATGTGGCTTGCAGAGTGGAAACCTGTAAGGAATAGACAGGCCCTTGCAGACGACCCCAGGTTAGGGGAAAGGGACTAGTTTTCTGTCGAAGAAATAAAGAATAAAGGGCCTGAACCAGACCCTGGACATGGCTTCACTCCTTCCTGGGCTGAGGGGACAGGCCAGCAGCCTGCAATGCCAACCCACATAATGCAGGGCACAATGGCTCAACACACCCCTAGCATCTGCCACAATGTGGCCTCTCCATTTTCCGGGGGCCATCACGTCTCGTGCAGACTGGCAGGTTTGCCGTGGGCATACACATTCTGCCCGGCTACCCAAGCCCTGCTGTGTGGTGCTGGGAGCATCTTCAAGCACGACCACCTGCTTTTCCAAATCTAAAAAGGAAGCCAGCCCTTCCGAAGCCGAGAAATACAAACATGCCGTCGCTGGGTTGTCGGGGACATGGTCCCGCGGCCAGACCCCGTCAGTCCGTCACATCCCACCTTTCGAAGGAGACAGTCCCAGCTGGTCAAACTGGCACATTGCTCTCTGAAATAGGCAAAGCCTCTGGATCCCAGGCTGCAGTCTGGGAAGTGGGACGGTCCCCGGGATCCCTTGCTTCCCACCACACACTATTGGTTGCGAGGAAGTGATAAAGGCAAGACATGTTCAGCTGACTGCAGGTCCCAGCTTGAGGCCAGCAAAGATGCTGTTCAGGAGTCCATCTGCAGAGAGCAGACATATTCTGTTCTCCGGTTTCCCTGTCCCCGCTGCCCTTTTCCTCTATTTCTCCCCTTCCTTCTCCTACTGTCTTCACAGAGGTGGCGGGATTCTTCCCGGCCACGCTGAAGCACAGCCAGCATGCGCTCTGCTTCTGACCCCACCCATGCTGCTAACAGAGGCGCTCTCCGTGATGGTGCCCCCACGGGGCTGGTGTAGCACAGACACTCCTCTCCAGCAGCCTCAGCATGGAGCAGGAACCCCACAAAATAGAGCCCAGCATTGGGACTTTCCTGCCCCCCTAGGGACATGTAGGAGTTTTTTGGTTTCAAGATCAGCTCACCTGGGAACTGAGGAAAAAGGGGAGAACTGGAGCAAAAACCAAAAGCCTGTCTAACCAGCCCAGTGACTTCTCCCATCATGGGCAAGCAGCGGCAGGTAATCTGAACAGACCCCGGCAGCACAGAGATTTCCCAGCTGCTCCTCTCCTAGTGAGGCCACCTGGGCCAGACAGCAAATAAACAAACAACTCAAAATAAGCAGGCAAATGAGGACATGCTCCAAGGTTCCTTCTGCTGCCAAAAAGTCTGCCACGTTTTCCTGCTTTTACAGCTCCGTGTTTGGGAAAAGGCTAAAAACAGCCCGTGAAGTTTCGCGAGCAGTGGCCTGCATGCTGGGATGCAGCTGGCTGCTGCTGCTGTGTGCCAGTCTGTGGTTTCCCTGGAGAAAGGGCAAGGCTCCGAGTCTCACAATTTAGGAAGGCAAAGGCTTCCTTTTCCGAAAAACAAACAGGATTATGCAGGACACTTGGAACCTGTGACCCCCACCCAGCTGATGCTCCATGAGGGCTGCCCAGAAAACATTCATTCCGCTTCATGAAAAATGTCGCGGTTACTAAAAGAGTTTTTGTTCACACTGGAGGGAAATGGAGACTTTTCCGAATCAGGGAATTGAATACGGGTCTTCTGCACCCCATGTGAGTGCTCTAGCCACCAAACTAGAGTCAAATCTCCCCGCTGTTCCACTTTGTACAAAGAATCAGCCATTCATACCAAACAGAATACTCCAAAACAGAATCTGAACCTGGGTCTTCCCTCTTCCAGGTGAGCACCCTAGCCACTGGGCTATTTTGGCCATTCTCTTTCTTTTAAGCACACACACCCACCCTGGACCTGATCCACCTTCGCACAGAAATTTTCATCAGAACGGAGATGTTGCCACACACAGTTTTGACTGACAAATTGGCATTTTCCCACAAAAAAGAAGTCTGTCAAAAAATTCCTGACCCACTCTAGGCTACCTTACTTCTCCTGTAACCTCCAGTCTCCTCTGTGCGATACACAAACGCACACCCTGCACCGCTAGTGGCCATTACAGACCCCAATGCACTGGCTCAGGGGTTCTCAAATGTCACGGCACCGTGACCCCCTTCTGACAACGAAAATTACTACACGGCCCCAGGAGGGAGGACCGAAGTCTGAGCCTGCCTGAGCCCTGCCACCCTGGGCTGGGGAGCAAAGCCGAAGGCCAAGGGCTTCAGCCCCAGGTGGGGGGCCTGTAACCTGAGCCCTCCCACCTAGGGCTGAAGCCGTGGGGCTTCAGCTTTGGCCCTGGGTAGTGGAGCTCGGGCTTCGTCCCCGGGCCCCAGCAATCAAACGCGAGACTTAGATTGAGAACCGCTGCACTCGTCTGTTGTGCCAGAGCGTGTGTGGGAGGGAGCTTACGCTGGCTGTGTCTACACTACCAGCACTGCAGTAACACAGCAGCTAGGCTGCTGTCACATAGGAGATTCCTACAGCAACAGAAGGGCTGCTCCCATCGCTGTAGTAAATTCACCTCCTGAGCAACAGACCTCGGTTGACCTACATTCCAGGTGTAGACCAGGTCTGAGAGGCAAAACAACCGGCCCACAGTCACCCAGCAGGTCAGTGGGAGAGCCAGGAATAGAACCCAGGTCAGCTGAGACCCAGTCCAGGGCTCTATCCACTAGGCCACACTGCTGATATCCTGATGACACAGTTCAGTCACTAACAAAACAGACCAGATTAAAACCAGGGTCTGAGTGGTAAATAATGTACCCCTTTACCAGTCCCCTGAGCCATCCAATCCCTGGCTGCACCAGGCAAACACAATCAGTATCTAATGTAGAACTATGTCCAATCATGCAATTTGTCTAACGGTGATATATTAAAAGGTGCATGTGAATGGGAGAGAGAGATGAACGGAAACATTCCAGAATAGACAAGTGCTTTTCATTTCTTTTTTTAAAGAGCGTCTGCTCTATGAAATAGACAGCTAGATGTGCCCATTTTGCAAAGAGAAACAGCAAAGGCATTCACTTTGTAACTTCAGCAACAGTATACTGCCTATTCTACAAAAATGGGCCATATGCTGCCCCCTAAATTGAAAAATCCCCATTCAAGGGCACGGAACATTTCGGGTGGCAGAAATTTACTGATTCTTCATAGTAGGCAATTTTTCTGCAAGCCACATTTTGGGTCCCATGCAGTTGCAGTCAAATGAAACTGCCCCTCCACCTCCTCACTACTTACAACAGAGCAAACTATTCAAGATTTAGTACAATGGAGGGTATCACACATAGTACCAGAAACAACCCTGCTTAGTTCCTCTGTGCTTCCAACAAAACCACATGCTGCTTTGCAAATGCTCTATTTTGAGGAAGAAAATATTGATGTTCTTCTCTCAAACGCAAAAACCATCAGTTATTCCAGGCAGTGTATTTGGGGAAGGAGGGTTACGAAGCAAAAAGCCAAATGACTTAAAGGTGAATTCCAACCCACAGGAGAACTGCACTATCCCTTTGGAATGCACATCCCGGGGCATCACAAAAGGTTTTTTAAAAACACAGAAAAGAAAAAGCACGCGTCCTTATTCACTGGCAGTAACAGCCATGCTCTGATCGCTGGCTCTGATACATCTCCAGGAACAGCCCCTCCAAGTGTGGCTTTTACAGTCACAGCTTTAATACCACTTCCCCGATGTGCATTATTCAAAGCTTTCCTAACTATCCCTCCCAGGTTCATGCAAACTTCCACTCCCACGGAACTTAACAAAACCGGCTAACCCTTCCACATCAGAAGCTAAATCCGACATTTCAGGCTTCCCCACAGAGGGCAGCTCAGTAGTGTCTATATCGAAGTCTGAGTTTCTAAATAGTCTAACGCGAAAGTCCATTGCAACATATAGCTGACATGGAAAAAAAATACATGCCTCACCTGTGAGACTAATAATCATTTAGATTCTTAAAACAAAAATTGTTTACAATCTGATTTGTGCTTCCCAATCTGGGCTGTTTGTTTACTTTTGGCATTTCACCTAGTTTGGACAATGGATAATAGACTGGTCAGTTTCACTTTTGTTTCTAGGTTTCACTTTCCAGTGACCATGGAGCAGCAGAATGGGGTCCTTCAGTTACTTTCCAGAGGCAATGTTGTATAAAATCTGAAGTTTAGGTTTATAACCATCTGACCAGGTCCCTTCAAAATCTCACCATAAAACCCATGTCTTTTCCATTACGTAACAAAGAGTAACTTCCATGAAAAGTGTTTGCAGTTCACTCTTAGACAGCTTTTCTTGCAACAGAATTGGACGGAGCTGTTTTGTTTTGTTTTAAACCACAAATTCCTAAAACGTAATTCTGTGGTCAGCTGGAAAGAGTGAGATTAATCTTCATACAATTTGTCTGCTGTGGAGTCAACATAAGCTTCACTCTTCTCTCAGGACCCGATTACTTACACTGAGTAGAAATGTACTCCACAAACAGTCCCATTGAAATCAACAACGGACTCCACTATGCATAAAGCAAGAGGCTATTCGCCTTTCCTGTGAATGGGGATATTTGTGGAGTAAGCTACTGCCGAACCGTAGAATCAGGCCCTGGGTTAGTTGCATACAAGTTACTTTTATAATGGAGGCTGCTACAGCATGGAAGACAGAGGATCCTACAAGAAGGAAAAAAAGCAACAGATAACATGCTAAATACCAACCTGTCTGTGCTGGGATCCCTCCTTTTGTTTTCTACGTACAAGAGCTAAACATGGAGTCTTCTTTGCATCTGTTATGCACATATAAAATAAGACTTAGGAACTGCACTTACCCACTGTTTACGAGCATGATTTCTCCTCTTAAAGTACAAAATTAACTTCTTCCGCATTGCCTGGTTTCTACAGTGGAGAAAAGGGGGAAAAAATATAACAGACCGTTAAAATGCAAAGTCCTGCACACCCCTTCTGTTTTCAACACCATGCAACAATTTCTACCTTCCCGTTGAAATGATGCAACCTCAGAGCGGTGGATGTGACACCTACAATAGCACGGCACATATGGCCTTTAATATCACTCTGGAGCAAAACTGAGCCGGTCCCTGCAGTTCTGCTACGCAGGCCAAAGTCTTTCTGAATGCTCCTTTGATAAGCTGCATTGTTTGCCTTGCAGTACGCACTTCACCTGGGGTTAGTCCGGTCATCCCAGCGCCTGACCCTACCAACGTTTACACGTGTGTAACTTTACTCACTGATGTGTTTCCAGGATCAGGGCCACAGATTCTAACTAACTTCACTAGCTCCCTTAATCCTCCTGACCTCTGCAACTAAACTTACCGCTCACTACCACAAGTAGTCCCGCAGATGCCAAGTGCTCAACGTTATGCCAATAGCACCAGTCCCGGGAGCAAGCACTAGCCAGCATAGTGCCTGTTGGAGAACCAGACCCTTCATTTCCCAAGTGACGAATGAAAGACAGCCACGCAACAGTAATGGCGTATTGATGCCTACACTCCCCGCCCCCACGGTCCTGCCTCAAAGCATTAACTACACAGCACCCCTATGGTGCAATGAAATGTTAAGACGCGGTTTACAGCTGGAAAAAAAGACAAACAGAGGTGAGAGTAGGAAAAAAATACAGTAGCGCTCTATGGAAGCTATGCCGCAATTACAGGGCAATGGGATGTTTCTGCTACAATGCTCAGAAACGAAGGAGAGCAATGCTGACGTTTAAATCGCCAGGTTCGGCTTCGGCGGGACTGAGTCGGCAGCTGATGCCTCTCTTAGGTCCCAGCTCAGAAAGGTACTTTAGCATGTGCCCAACTTTCAGCATGTGAATAACCCATTTATTTCACTGATTAACGTTATGCATGAGCCGAAGCACCTAGCTGCATCAGGGCCTGAGAGCTGGGGTTACTGCTGGCTGCAGACAGAGACAGTGCTGCAACTTTCCACATTGCGGAAGTTTTCTTTACTCTAGGCTTGATTTGCTCTTTCTGGAACGCTGCAGTCCTGCAGAGACAGAGGGGGCTGCCGGAGACGTATGGATGTAATTACAGCTCAGTGCAACCTCTCTACACAGAGAGGTAAAGTGACTTTCCTAGGGTCATACAGCAAGCCAGTGACACAGCTGGGATTAGAACCCTCAAGAGTTCCTTGTTTCCAGCCCAGGACTCAAACCAACAGGACCACACTGCCTCTCCACTTACCTCTCAAAGAGAGCTTTAGGACAGCCACCTTCCAAGCCTAGGGAAGGCAGAGCTGCCCGGAACGCATGCCTGACTAGCCAACACACACACAGTGGGCTCGATTTCCTACCTACAGGATCCAAATGATCGGAAGTGGCAGGTCTGAAGTGATGCTTTCAAGGGAATCCTGGGTGCAAGGAAATCTCCCACCCCTTTTACTCCCTGGGAACCCTGTCCTGTAAAGGAGCAAGCAAATCAATTGAGTGAGCTCAGCATCTTGCGGGAGCTACTGAGCACCATGCAGGATCAGGACCTCAGCAGCAGCTATAAGGGATTCGGGGGGGGTTCAGCTGTTGTGACCTGCACTGGATGTGCCATGTTTGTCTTTCTTCCACAGGACAGAAGCGACTTTGTCTGTACAAAGTGCAAGCTGGTCTCCATATTGGAAGAGAAGATTGAAGGTCTGGAGCAACAGATAACAACCCTGCGTTGCATACGGGAAACTGAGGATTTTCTGGACAAAACTCAGGATAGGCTTCTAGGGGCACAAAGCTCTACATATATAGAGCAGGTTGCACAGAGGAGCCAAGAGGCCAGTGAAGAAGCTTGGCAACATGTGACCTCCAGAAGAGGTAAGCGGAATGTCCGGGTTCCAGTAACACAGACACAGGTAACTAACCGCTTTCATGTTCTCTCCACAGGTATCGTTGCGGAGAGTGGACCAGATGATATGTCTGGGGCGAGAAAGCAGAAGGAGACTCCGCTGGTTGGAAGGCATGAGATGCGCTGTCCTGAGGTTGGGAGTTCCACGACCACCACTCCCAAGAGGAGAAGGCGGGTGGTGGTGGTCGGGGACTCTCTCCTCTGGGGGACTGAGTCATCTATCTGCCGCCCTGACCGGGAAAACCGAGAAGTCTGCTGCTTGCCGGGGGCTAAGATTCGCGATGTGACGGAGAGACTGCCGAGACTCATCAAGCCCTCGGATCGCTACCCCTTCCTGCTTCTCCACGTGGGCACCAATGATACTGCCAAGAATGACCTTGAGTGGATCACTGCGGACTATGTGGCTCTAGGAAGAAGGATAAAGGAGTTGGAGGCGCAAGTGGTGTTCTCGTCCATCCTCCCCGTGGAAGGAAAAGGCCTAGGTAGGGAGCGTCGAATCGTGGAAGTCAACGAATGGCTACGCAGGTGGTGTCGGAGAGAAGGCTTTGGATTCTTCGACCATGGGATGGTGTTCCAAGAAGGAGTGCTAGGCAGAGACGGGCTCCACTTAACGAAGAGAGGGAAGAGCATCTTCGCGAGCAGGCTGGCTAACCTAGTGAGGAGGGCTTTAAACTAGGTTCACCGGGGGAAGGAGACCAAAGCCCTGAGGTAAGTGGGAAAGCGGGATACCGGGAGGAAGCACAGGCAGGAATGTCTGTGAGGGGAGGGCTCCTGCCTCATACTGGGAATGAGGGGCGATCAACAGGTTATCTCAAGTGCTTATATACAAATGCACAAAGCCTTGGAAACAAGCAGGGAGAACTGGAGGTCCTGGTGATGTCAAAGAACTATGACGTGATCGGAATAACAGAGACTTGGTGGGATAACTCACATGACTGGAGTACTGTCATGGATGGTTATAAACTGTTCAGGAAGGACAGGCAGGGCAGAAAAGGTGGGGGAGTAGCACTGTATGTAAGGGAGCAGTATGACTGCTCAGAGCTCCGGTACGAAACTGCAGAAAAACCTGAGTATCTCTGGATTAAGTTTAGAAGTGTGTGCAACAAGAGTGATGTAGTGGTGGGAGTCTGCTATAGACCACCGGACCAGGGGGATGAGGTAGATGAGGCTTTCTTCCGGCAGCTCACGGAAGCTACTGGATCGCATGCCCTGATTCTCATGGGTGACTTTAATTTTCCTGATATCTGCTGGGAGAGCAATACAGCGGTGCATAGACAATCCAGGAAGTTTTTGGAAAGCGTAGGGGACAATTTCCTGGCGCAAGTGCTAGAGGAGCCAACTAGGGGGGCGCTTTTCTTGACCTGCTGCTCACAAACCGGATAGAATTAGTGGGGGAAGCAAAAGTGGATGGGAATCTGGGAGGCAGTGACCATGAGTTGGTTGAGTTCAGGATCCTGACACAGGGAAGAAAGGTAAGCAGCACGATACGGACCCTGGACTTCAGGAAAGCAGACTTCGACTCCCTCGGGGAACGGATGGCCAGGATCCCCTGGGGGACTAACTTGAAGGGGAAAGGAGTCCAGGAGAGCTGGCTGTATTTCAAGGAATCCCTGTTGAGGTTACAGGGACAAACCATCCCAATGAGTCGAAAGAATAGTAAATATGGCAGGCGACCAGCTTGGCTTAATGGTGAAATCTTAGCGGATCTTAAACATAAAAAAGAAGCTTACAAGAAGTGGAAGGTTGGACATATGACCAGGGAAGAGTATAAAAATATTGCTCGGGCATGTAGGAATGTTATCAGGAGGGCCAAATCGCACCTGGAGCTGCAGCTAGCCAGAGATGTCAAGAGTAACAAGAAGGGTTTCTTCAGGTATGTTGGCAACAAGAAGAAAGCCAAGGAATGTGTGGGCCCCTTACTGAATGAGGGAGGCAAACTAGTGACAGAGGATGTGGAAAAAGCTAATGTACTCAATGCTTTTTTTGCCTCTGTTTTCACTAACAAGGTCAGTTCCCAGACTGCTACGCTGGGCATCACAAAATGGGGAAGAGATGGACAGCCCTCTGTGGAGATAGAGGTGGTTAGGGACTATTTAGAAAAGCTGGACGTGCACAAGTCCATGGGGCCGGACGAGTTGCATCCGAGAGTGCTGAAGGAACTGGCGGCTGTGATTGCAGAGCCATTGGCCATTATCTTTGAAAACTCGTGGCGAACCGGGGAAGTCCCGGATGACTGGAAAAAGGCTAATGTAGTGCCAATCTTTAAAAAAGGGAAGAAGGAGGATCCTGGGAACTACAGGCCAGTCAGCCTCACTTCAGTCCCTGGAAAAATCATGGAGCAGGTCCTCAAAGAATCAATCCTGAAGCACTTGCATGAGAGGAAAGTGATCAGGAACAGCCAGCATGGATTCACCAAGGGAAGGTCATGCCTGACTAATCTAATCGCCTTCTATGATGAGATTACTGGTTCTGTGGATGAAGGGAAAGCAGTGGATGTATTGTTTCTTGACTTTAGCAAAGCTTTTGACACGGTCTCCCACAGTATTCTTGTCAGCAAGTTAAGGAAGTATGGGCTGGATGAATGCACTACAAGGTGGGTAGAAAGCTGGCTAGATTGTCGGGCTCAACGGGTAGTTATCAATGGCTCCATGTCTAGTTGGCAGCCGGTATCAAGTGGAGTGCCCCAAGGGTCGGTCCTGGGGCCGGTTTTGTTCAATATCTTCATAAATGATCTGGAGGATGGTGTGGATTGCACTCTCAGCAAATTTGCGGATGATACTAAACTGGGAGGAGTGGTAGATACGCTGGAGGGGAGGGATAGGATAGGATACAGAAGGACCTAGACAAATTGGAGGATTGGGCCAAAAGAAATCTGATGAGGTTCAATAAGGATAAGTGCAGGGTCCTGCACTTAGGACGGAAGAACCCAATGCACAGCTACAGACTAGGGACCCAATGGCTAGGCAGCAGTTCTGCGGAAAAGGACCTAGGGGTGACAGTGGACGAGAAGCTGGATATGAGTCAGCAGTGTGCCCTTGTTGCCAAGAAGGC